TAAGATTTTTAATGAACAGTTTATATCGCGTCGTTCTAAAATTAAACCATCCATTTGATATTTTCGTAGAGATATATGATGATAAACCGCAAGCGAGCAAAAGGCGGAATTGGGTATCGTCTGCCTTGAACACTCATAATATATCTAACAATGGCACAGATAGCTCTTATAACGCACCTGAATTTAAAATGGCAAGACGCCCAACCCAAAATGAGGAACAAGCCCTAGCACAACTCCAGGAAATTTCTACACGGGCGAGCGGCCACATAAGCAAAGAAAGAACGAAAGATAAAGAGAAGAGGGTAATGGAAAGGGAGAGGTTAAGAGGAAGGGAAAAGGAGGAGGGAGGGGGAAAGGAAGAGGGGGTGGGGAAAGAAAGAGATGAAAATAGTGATAGAAATAGAGATAGACAAAAAGATTATAGGGGAATGAGTAAGGAGAAATATAGAAAGGAAAAAGAAGAGAAGTCTGAGAAAGAGCAAGACAGCGAGGATAGTGATGACGAGGATTATAGTAACGACGAGGATAGTGATGACGAGGATGATAGTAACGACGAGGATAGTGATGACGAGGATAGTGATGACGAGGATAATGATGACGAGGATGATAGTAACGACGAGGATAGTGATGACGAGGATGATAGTAACGACGAGGATAGTGGTGACGGGGTGATAGTAACGACGAGGATGATAGTAACAGTAACGACGAGGATAGTGACGACGGAGATAGTGATGACGGAGATGGGACAGAAAAAGTATGATGTAAATGCCATGTCTGAAACCGTTTAATGGTTGAAGTACAGATACAGCCAGTATTTTTGCGCATCGCGAAGAGCCGAATTTTGACATTCTGTCGCTAGTTCCTCCAAATGTAATACCATGCTTATACTTCAATGCGTTGACATTACAATTGATCCAAAAAGGGGCAAACTCAAGAGGGGGAAGGTGTACCCAATTACACGATAACGAGAGCAATATCTAGTTGCTTATTGGTTTCTTTATGTGTTAGTAAAAAATGGTTAGAATTACTCAATACGAAAAAAGCTCTCATGTAATCCACGAACACTTTTATTAAAGACTTTGCCCAGTGATCATTCATTCGTCCAAGGCTTCCTCAATTTAGCTAATTGTTCTCGCGGTTTGCCCGTTTGTTGTCAAAGCTCGCTCAGTCCTTGTAGGAGACTGTCCTAATACAAGTGAGTCTCGATATAACGACATCTTGTTATAACGACAGAAATCGTAGAACAAAAAACTATGTTGCTTAATTGTCGTATACAAGTTAATTCTCGATATAGTGATCATTTGGGTTGGAACCGAGCGTGTCGTTATATCGAGACCCACTGCGTCGTACATTGTTGCTGCTATTACGCCCGTAGCGCCGCGTTTCAGCCAGGTCGCGGCGTACATTCCCGGTAACTTATTGACAATGCATTGAAGACAGTAAGTAGGTTTCAGCGATTTTCCAGACCAATGAGCTTTCTAATTCAGTCTCACCTCTTTCCCAACCGAGTCTGTGATTTCCCCTCTCGTTATTAACCAGGCCCTTATCAAACGGAATACCTCAACCGGAAGACTTCTATAACCAACACTCTTAGTTACTAAACCGGTTTCTATGATCTCTATTTCAGGTATTGCAACGAACGGACCTCCCCTCGAGTTTATTTCCACTGCCTTCACATACAAATAGTGTGTGAATCATTGCCACCAACGAAGGCGGTTGGGCTTCGTAGAAATTTGAGAGTCCAAGACTTATCCCCCTCTACATTGTAGATACGAGAATCCGAGTCACGATACGAGAATCCGAGTCACGATTGGAGAATTCTTCTTTTAATAAGCTTATATCGGTATGAAATCGGGTATTCGGTAGCTAAAACATCTCGAAGCTCCTTTGCTGAAAGATATCTAGACAAATAAAACAGTTTGTAGATCGGTAAGGTCATAGAACTTAATATTTGATCTTGCAACTATGTAAACCGTATGCTTACTTGTAAAGGACCACGCCGACCAACAAGTATAACGTTTTTTATCTTCCTCCGCTTGAGCGTTTCCAGAGCATGGCTCTGCTATATCCGTTGTGCTTAATGTAGAAACGTCCATCGCGCCACATCCAAAGCGACGTTCCCATGTTCAATTACAACAATCGCTGTATCCGTTCAAGTTGCAGATTGTAGCCCTGAAACAAACCATTATACAGCCTACAAAGTCTCCAGCAGATAAATCATACTTCAGCAATCCGTCGTCGCCTTTGATTCCCAATTTCTTTCCGCACTTGCTCCATATGATAGGACGATTGCGTCATAATACGGCTTTGATTCAGCAACAGAGATGTCCTTACATTACCAACAAATTGGAATACAAGGATCACTGGCAACTTCATCGAATTCATGCTGTAACGTTCTAATCAATTGTTACTGACTACTGTTACCGCAATAAAAATAGGCCAGGAAGCGCTGTAAGATACCTTGACTTCTGGGTGATCAGGTGCTACAACATATCTGACAAGACCAAATGGTATGGGAAGCGCCTCATCCATGTCTATCAAAGCGAACGGGTAGTCTTTCATGACGCGATAAGCCGTGTAGAATCCAGCTGGTCCACTTCCTATGATCGCGAGCCTAATGTGGCAACTGGAGCGATAACTACTGACCTTGAGTGTGTGTAAGCGCGCAACGAAGCATAGCTAGTAACTCTTAAGATTTCACGTTTCGGAATGCTAGATTCCGTGAGTAGGCGACGGATAACCGTGCAAACATTCCAATATGCTTTCAGAAAAGGTTCGTCGTGCCAAGCTACGCAATGACTTGGGAGGTTATACTCTCTTCAAAACTGGCCAAGACCAAATTGAGCTGGAATATTGTCATCAAACACCCAACGTAGCAATAGTTAATCGAACCATTCTTTTCTGTTTGGTCAGATACTTCAGCGTCCGCTACCATAACACCCCCTTGAAATCGAAGTCTCACAAAGGCCATTAACACTTTGATGTTTGAAGGTTTAGGGAGACAGTCCCCCAATACTGTCTTGTTTAATCGTAGATTTCAAGAAACCAGCGGGACTTGTTTCCCTATTGACAGACGGAGCGTCGTAAATGACACCATTCGCTATTAGGGCAAAGAGTTATACTATTGTAACAAAAGACAAATTAAAACTAATTACTAACCTTCCAAGAACTCGAGACCTGCTTTGGGGTTCTTTAAATTTCGCCGCTCCCTCCAACAATATTTGCTTCCATTTGCTCCTTTCCAATAGCTCAACAGGCGAAGGGTACAATTGCAATTTCAAGAAAACAAACCTATTAGCACAAGCATGAGGCTCACACAAGTCCAATTAAAAAAAACAACCACAAGTACCGTTCTTTCCATGAGAATAGGTTTTCCTAATATAGATCACCAATATTAATACGTACGTATTATCGCACAAACATTCTAAACATACCTCAATTTGGGTAGTCGATCAAAAAAAACGGTTTCCCACTTCCAAATCCAATAATATTTTTCCTGATGCTCATCCCTTCATTCCCTTCTTTACCCACTAAATCAGCTTAAAAACGCGACGTCTTCGAATAGATTACTACAATCAACATTGAAGCTCATAACAAAATTTGTATTGCCGATATACTTTGAGCAAATACTCCCCCATGTCTTTTAATATTCACTGGGATAAACTAGATTCCGAAGTAGCAAAGAAAGTTCAGGATGCACTCAATTCTCATTTTCGGACAGCAATAACGGACTTTTCCTTTGGCACTGTTGCTCCTCAGGTAGAAATCACAGATCCCTTCCCTGAGTTTTTTATCTTCCCGACGAGGAAGTATTATTGGAAAATGGTAGCTCAGTAGCTGGGGATTTCTTTATTATAGTGATGTATATGAAGAATGAAGTAAAGCAGGATACGGATGCGCAAATGCGTGTAGAGATGAAATATGAGAATGAACTACACGAGTTTAATGTTTATGAGTGATTGGGCGTAACAGGATTCAGTTTTCATGGTAAGAACATGAGGTTTGCAAATTGATTAAAGCTAATTTACGTGATAAACTATATCTCCTAATTGATGATCTTTTATAGCAACTGCAGTAATAGCTTATCTTCAGCGACGAATAAACTTTTATTTCCTTGAACCCAAGACTCCAAATGAAAGGTCACCACTATCTTAACAACAGTTGCGCATTATCATTATTCGATTTGATCTGAATGTGGTTTTGTTGCTCAAAGACGTCCACATAGAATCAGAAGTCGGCCATAAAGAAAAGCAAGGTTATTATTATACGGGTAATTTGCATTCTTTCTCAAGAACTCAATGCACGAATATTAATATTTTTCTCTGCAAACAGTTCTCAAAAATGTTGGCAAAGAAAGATTTATCGTAGAATTTGATCGATGAGGAATTCAAGCAAGACAAACGGTTACTATCAAAAATTTTTTACTTTTATTTTTTATATCAAAACCCATACAAGAGAAACGCAAGCGATATTGTTGCGTGTATATGTAATGTTCCGTGATAAAGCAAATGCTTGTATTGTCTATTTCGTAAAGAGATACTATTCCTAATATTTGATCATGTCGATGTATTCATTCTAGCTATGTCACACAGATAGTCGTCAACTGTCCATGGAAAGGACATCATGTTCTCATTACGGTAATCGCCTCTCTCGTGATGATGGTAAGTAACATAATACCAAGCACAGGCCTTAGCTTCCAGTTTGCTCTTAATATTCACCTGGTTTTTAGCCTCGGCTGCTGATTTTATAGAATATTCGGCAAAGATGTCCTCCTCAAATTTTTGGCGGTAATTACGTCGAATCTCAGCCATCACTTCACTGACCGCTCTCTGTATTTCTCGCAGCTTCTTACGCTCCATATTTACGATAGCGTTGAATATGAATCCACTGACAACCTCGTATTCAGTCATAACACCATATTGATTCATCAGACCGCGTACGTCTGCATCATATGCACGTTTCGTAACACGAGCGTCTTCCACATATAGTTCATAGCCGTCCACTAATAAACGTCGATCAAATTGAACGAATCTATCTGCTGCTGGATTAAAATGATCACTTGGAAGTTCTATAGATCTGTACAGTTTTCCAAGAATCTTTTGAGATGCATAAGATTGCTTATCCATTTTATCCATAAAATCCGGATATTCGCTTACACGCAGTCCCTTTGGAAAATCAACAGAGACACCAGTTTTAGGAAAGTCCATAGCCTCAGAATGTAACTGTGCCAGTCGTAAACAGTCTCCATGCATAGCACCTACTGGTTCTTTATCCGCTTTTGCCATGTGAGTGTTTGCTAATTGTGCGAGATTGTCACGGTGAATGTAGTTCACAAATAACTTTTTGATATGATCAACTGTAACCGCCTCCACATGATATGGCTCTGGTTCTCGATATTCCATTGGTAGAAAATTCTTTATCGGTGGGATTAATCTTCTATCCCAAATCACCGTGAAGTCGTCTCCATCCGGGTCCCCCCCGCTACACATGCTTCGTAAATCCCTATAACCATTTGCGGGAAATACCAACACATCAACTAAATGGTTGAGTTCCGGACATTTAACTGCTGTAACTACTCTTATACCTCCAGGGTGGAAACAAGGATTACGGAACACTATACAAGTGCCAGTTACCACATTGCTCACAGAAGGGTTATTTGGGTTTGAGAGACATAAATATATTTCATCTTCTTTCAGTGAATTGGTCTCATCCATCACCCCTAAAAGGAAGGCTCCGTTTTCGACAAATATTTTCGCTTCATTTTTGAGATCATGAAGACATGATATACGAAATAGCGATAATAATTTGGCTAACCAAGGGTCCTGTTGTCGCATAAAGCCCGCTTTGACCATATTAGCTAATCGACGTGAGAGACCCCATTCATCAATATACCGTAACAATATTCGCATAGCACTATGTTCGGTTCGTAGCATTCGGTCGAGATCATTTGCTTCTAAATTTCTCATATTCACGAACGCTGAATCAGGAACTTGAAGGGTGGATAAGAGCGTAATAGCCTGCCTGTTCAAATATGCAGGCAAAAATGTTGACGCCCTTATTACTTCCAGCTCCGTATGTGGCGAATCAAACTTGCGCTGACTCGGCCGCACCTGGATTTGCTTTCCCCGGACATTCGGCGACATGCATAAAACACCCTCGTATCCACCAAGACGGAATTGGACAGCAGAAGGAACGCTTTTTAAATCAAGAACTTCGGCAATTTGTTGGCATAGCGCTTGTGAGATCTTGCCACAACCATCGGAGAAATTGTATCCGTTTCGCGTAATGTCATTGATGAATTGAATATCGTTCACAGGTAAATGAGTCACAGCGCGACTACTTGAAAGGCATTGTCCCATGCGTGTAGCGTATTTTGCCACTGCTTTGATGCCACTTAAATTCCCCATCCAATTGCGTATGTCATCAGCCCTTAATTCCTCTGTAGGAGCAAAGAACAAGCAAGAATGATCCCGTAGCTGGCTTGAAGAGAAGGCCAAAAATTCGTATTTCCTATTTCCAATCTGAATCCCGTTCACGAGAGTACGGTGAACCCGATTTAAGGTTGATATATGGTTATCTCCATTCGAAGATGTAAGTTTTCCATTTTCGTCATTGAATTGGACTCTTAGGAAACGTTCCTTGTGGTCTTCAAAATACCTTATGGTCCTATTGCTAGGCTCCATAGTTGGCGGTAATATATACATTTTAGAAGGGGTGATAACAACTTTTCGCATCATGACACAGGACGAGGGTACCGTCTCTTGCCGACTGTCACCGCCTTGAAGCTTCGCAACTTCAAACATCAAGTGAGAAAGAGGATCATAAAGTCTCTGTTTACGTTGATGGAAGTTATCTAAAATGGTAAGAGCTGTCTCTTTCTTTTGTTGAGCAAGCAAGTCCATGAATTCGTCATTGAGATTGTAATCATGTAAGTAACCATGCGTAATATTACATTCCAACATATAAAGTACATCAAAGTCCAGCATTGACCTATCAACATATTTTTTCAGGTTGCTTCCATCAGCCGTCGTTATGTATCTGGAAAACATTTCTTTCCTTGATACAATATTGTAATCAGCAGCTTTGAAAAACATTTTTTTAAGCTTGTTGAATTCTTGATTCTGGTCAAAAATGAACGTAATCCTATACGCAAACCATCTTCCAAAATCTTCACCTGTAGCGTTTGGATATGAAGGCATCGTCGGCTGTTGCGTCTCTTCGTTGCTAGGCTTCCTTACCCGGAGGGCCGTCATCCTCATCCAGCACTCCGTCGAATTCCATTCAAACTGATTTCTCATCCCAAGTCTCTCGTCCAGGAAATGTAGTCTTGGTGGAAATTTGGTCCGTATTGTAGTTATCGCACATATTTGATTCTTCTGTCTATCGAGTTCTGTATGGAACTCACCCTCGACGTCGTCGAAATAGGTTTCCAATCGGAGTCTATACGTCTTGTTTCCGTTCGCCCCAGTGAAACCAAATTCGATTTCAAAACGCCGTCTTGCGTAATTAAACTTGAACTTTATGTCCTTGCCTATTTCCCACTCTCTAACAAAGGTGTTCACTTTATAGAACACTCCCATTTCCAAAGACTTGGCCGGTAGGAAATCTTGACTTCCGCCTTCTCTTGAGAAGCCTTGCCGATCGTCTTCGTGGTTGAGGATCTTTATCCGCAATTGCTTGCCATGGAATCTTGGATTCTGTTTCCAAAACTTCGTTTCTGGTGGAGGTCTTTAGTAACGAGAAAATAGTATAAATTATATTGTTATTCATATTGTTACTCAAGTCAGCCAAACATACGTATTTAATTAACACGAAACTTACTTGTAAGTAATGTATGCTGTCCCGGTGAAGATAGTACCTGATTCTCTCGTGTCCATGATGATTTTATGCAGATGGCCGTAACCGGAGAAAAACTCTTTTAATTCAGTCATGCTAGCGCTAGACTGAATTTCGCTTACTCGTAGTTCTAGACAATCATATCCACTATCATGTCCACCGCGACCACTATCGTATCCACCGCGACCACTATCGTATCCACCGCGACCACCGCCGTATCCACCGCGACCGTTGTCATATCCATCACCGCGGCGGGGAAAACTGCTGTAGTTGCTTGGCATCATCCTGGCTATATTATTCTAATTCAAGTGTTCGAACTGAGGTTTATGCTTTTAGCGTTATTGTTTCTGGTATCAAGTTAAGGTGCAAAGGCGACAGTCGCGTAGTTTAACTGTGTTGGCTGTGGCTACTGTGGTTGGAAATCACAAGACGGTTTGGTTTGAAGTAAAACTTAGAATGTATTGACTTCTCTTGGTATATTGAATGTGTGATGTACAGCTTGAGAGTTTTTAGACAAGTGTCCACCATAATTTGGTCTTCCTATCGCACCATAATAATAATCATTGTTGGTGGAACCACGGATTCCAAATAAAGAACACACAGTTACGCGCGTTGACCAGGTGACCTTTTTTTTCAATTTACGTGGCGTCTATTACCCAATGAGAATGGCATTAAAAACTTTTTACCCCAACGCTGAGTTATAATCAGGAATTTACCTGCCAGGTCGCACACCCCGACACGTCGTACACCCCATAATAATCCTATTTATGGAGTGGGACTTGGCAGATTGTGTGGCAGGTAAATTCCAGAGATGATTATTCGCGTCACGCTAGAGTCATCACTAGTGGCATCCTTGCTTCATAACAATAATATTTAGCAACCGGAATGGTCCGCAGCGAATACCCATAATCGACATACACCTATACAAACGGAATAACCAGGTCATTAGCATCTCAATTAGATTATTTATGAAGCTGTGGATAGACCAACAATTCAGTGTACAAATACGTAGACCTGCGTTGGCTTAATTAGCTGCTACTCAATTACTTGTTGCGTATTTGTTGCTTAAATTTGTTTAATTAACCCTTAATGTTCTTTACTCAAAACACACAGTTCTCAAACACTAACCGATATATCTACTCTAATCACAGAGCTTAAGTGAAATTGTTGCTGTTACGGATTGACCATGCCGCTCAATTCGATGATCATCTCGCAAGGCGTTCACCAGTATGTGAGCTAATTACTATGCCTTGTTATTACATCTGTAATTTGAACTTTGACTAACTGGCTTCTACAAGATATCAGATGGCTATTTCATTGTGTGTGCCACCGTTGGATGAGTGGCCGTATGGCGATCATTACCATCTTACGACGAGTATTGGCAGAGGCTTAGAAATTCTCTTTGGATCTTAGTTTGAATCAGAGTAGAGATACAGAAGCAACAGCATTGACAAAGGCTTTAAGCCAAATTTCTCTCTGACTTCTAATAATCCAGGAGAATTATTATTCAGATTAACCGAGGGAAAAGCCGTAAGTTTGATTGAAGCCAACTGCAAATTAAAACGTAATTCAATAATTCAATGACTTATATTTGCTTCCCAGTTATCAAATTGCTTCCCATTTAATAAGCATATCACATCTCAAGAGTGTGGCAGGACAAATAAGGATACTGGTGCAAGGCAATTTTGCAGGAAATGCTCACAGAGATGTAGAGATATTCACATATAAACCCTGGAGAGCAAATAGAATCTATTTTGTTTATTGCTACACCATCGACTGGAGGTACTTTATTAATAGTTTACCAACAAATCGCATCTTTTTTTGTGTGTTCAAATTGATGAATCCCATTAGTAACACTCGTTTTTACTTAATGTTATACATTTATTCGCTTTTTGAAACTAGCTCCAATAACCCACTTATGCTTACCCCGGCATCCATACCGACAACGCATTTCTTCGGTACACTCACTGTCGGACACGGATCCAAGATTTCCATACCACATTATGCTGTCATTAACCTGACGCCATAGACATCGAACTAACTGGCGAAGAAGAAGACAGTTACGATATAAATTACGACGTTTTTGGCAAAGGCTATGCACCTGCCCCTATTTCAGACAGTGCATCGAAAAAGGGAATTACCGTCTGCAGTATTATATGCTATCGGAGACGACAATTTTGGTAAAATCGACAACGTATCCGTGGGAGAAGATGGAGAGAATGGGCAAATAACTCTTTAGTGGCTGGAAAGATGGGGAAGGTTATAATGAGTTTGCTGCGGCAATACAAGTTGCGAGATAAGAGCATAAAGAACAATATTAGTGGAAGAATCATCACCCTCTTCAAGTCAGTTTGACAGACGTTACAAATATTGGAGCCGTTGTATGGGTAAGTTAATAGGGAGTATATTAGAAATGGATATGGAAAAGGGAATGGTAGGGTAACGAGCGATTGGTATATAGAATCATCCATGTGCGGGTCAATCGCTAACTTGTTGTTGGTCTTGTTTTTCATCATTGCATAGCCGTTAACGACAATGCTATCGCCGCTACGCACAACAGAATAATTGCTGTCACACGCAACAACGCAAATGCCACAATGCAAATGCTGCCACAAAAACGCTATGGCTCCATACGCGGTGACGCATAAACGACGGTGCAAAGAAGATATTGAACAAGTTGGTTCTGATTTAGATTATCAGGAATGACGGGAATATATTGCTACTGCCACAATTACGACCGACCTTACAACGGCCTCACCCCAGAGAAACGCATCTATACCCGTATTACTTAATTCTTGAATTACCTCTTGAACAACATTTTTTGATGTTTCACCGCTCAAGGAGCACTATTAAGAAACCAGTCATAGTCAGTCAACAGAGGCATAATTTACGAACTATGAGAACAATACGATTGGAAGGAAGTAATACTCAAAGTATTCCTTTTATCTCTATTATGTCTCTCGAGCTTTCTCTGCTCCTTTCTTCGCCATCATCCACCGAAGCAAATTATACTTATATTAGATTGACTAACATCTAATCAACACATGGGACGATGGCCCTTCCCTACCACAGCGTGCGTCAGCCGTAAGGCTGGGGTGTGAAGCCAATGGGACAAAGTAACTGCGATCTAGAAAGTCTGATTTATACATTTTCAATTGTTGAGTTGAGACGAACGGACGGATTGGAGAAGAGAATAATGCTATGAAGCGGCCGAGAAGGCTATGTAGGCTTTCGGCTATTTACGGTTTTGCAATTAGATTCCTTTAGCAACAAATATCGTTATAACACGACGAAATCTTAATTAGAAAGTCAATTGAAGCAGGGTTACAAAACCCGGTCAACAATCAGCTTGTTATCGAAGCACCAACTGTTAGACACAAACGGTTCATTTTTCAGCAAGTTAAGTTTTCGTCAGCTGGGAGACGCTAACAGTAAAACACGTGAGAGATTAAAGAGTTTATGGAAGGCAAGAAGAGGGCAAAGAAAGCACAAGACAAGAAAGTGAAGGGGTGACGGCAGAGATAGGAGAAATTACAATCGTATCGTGGGAAGAATGGATCAGAGGATAGCGAGGAAGAATATGGGGAAGGTAATGACAAAGAGCTCGATGAAATATCAATGGATGCTTCCATTCTTTTGCCTTACTTCTTTCCACTCACCCTCTTTCTCTGTGTGATCTTTATAGCAATATCAACACCAAATCCGAATAAGAGCGTCCGTACTCTACAGCCTCATCTTCTTCTATCACATCAATTTAGACAATATGGCATGGCCACCGCTTCCGCTCCCAACGAAAGACGGTGAGGCTACCCATTCGGTTGAGGTTAACATTTATGCGGAAGAAACCTGGATCGAGGGCAATGACAGCGCTAATAATGACAACGTAAGCAACGAGGCCAACAATGTTATCTCACCAATCACACTTAGCTCTGCAATCAGAGTAAGCGCAGGATTGATGATGAAGTAAGTGGAAGGGATACATACCAATGTATACGGGAAAAGGGAGAATGAGAGTGCTAAAAAAAAAGTCGAACGTGTTAGGCAAAAAATATATATTATGGAGATATGGGAAAGATATATAAATTGGGTTTTATATAAAAGGTTCATTGCTAGATTGCTTTTATAGCATGGCATTCTTTTTATCTCTACTAAGATCTGACCAAATTTAAACTCTGCAAATATTTTCAATACCCTCCCCCGTTTAATCGAGTCTCATTAACTGGTTCGTACATAACAAAAAAAACGTCTTCTCTCTCACATCGATACACACCTGCTTTACACGCTCCTTGTTAGCGGTGCAATAATTTTTGCATTATTATATCGTTTGTGTAATCGATAATGAATAGATGAGCGAAAAGGAATATATATGTTGTATATAATTTGCGTCACTATATAATTCCCGGAATTATATATATAATTGGTGGCCGATCACCCCGAAACCTG